CATCTGATCTTAAGCTTACGTTACGTGCAGTGAGTGACTCGTGGAAATATTTAATAGTTATTTTTCAAACCAAAAAGTGGCCAACAACAACCGGCACCGTTCAAGGAGTAATCATATCGAGCTACTAAACATCTTGCATTATGCCCGGTTGTAAGAACTTGGGAAAATATACGACGGTTATACGTGCATTTAAACTATTATTTAAACTATTTCTTACTTTACCAGGGTAAGGGCCACTGAGCAATATAGCTCTTCTTTAGAAGTGACCTGGCCACAAATGATAGCTCAGCAAAGTGGCTTATCATGTGGACATTCATAGCAGTCGAATACTCTAAACGCGTGTTTCTAAATGTGGAGGGAAAAACCAGAGGACCGGGAGAAAAATCCACGCGACCACGGGGAGAGAAACATGCAAACTCCAAATATACAGGCGTCAAGATCGGGATGGAATCCCACGACTACCCTGCATACCGGGCGAGGTCGTTAACATCTCACCACTGCGGTGCCCCCTTGCATGTGAACAGGGCAGACGGGGGGTAAGGGAAAACCCCGGTTGCACGTTCACCGTAGACGTGTGGCAAGAAACAAGCGTGGCACTGTCGCCATAGCAGCAACACGTTGGAGCCCTTAACACCGAAGCCATTCACACGTCTTTCCAAGAAACCATCTTCAATCGAACCTTTCTGGACAAGAACAACATCCCCTTAAGCTGAATTTCTCTCTCTCTCTCGCTTCCCCACCACCCTACCCCGTCACACCCCCTAACCCCCTTACTTCCCCAGCCTCCTTTCTTGCAAAGGGTTCTTTATCGAGTGAGCAGGGATGGAGGTAGATTTTAAATAAACACGTCACTTGTCCACAACCGTTGCGTTGCTGCGCTGAATTTTGGTAGCCTTGGTCGCATCGTCGAACTGAGAGCGTGCCCAACGTTCATGCAGCCTTTAATTTTGCTTATTTATTAAACTATTACTTACAAAATCCTGATTGAGATGGAGACGTCTCGTTAACAAAGCGTGTCCAGGGTTCCACGTTTGAGACACAGAGCAAACAAAGACAAAGATCCCCCGTAAAGTCTCCAGTGGGCTGTTGGGGCAAGTGCTGTTTCGCGAGCATCACCTATGTAGGCTGGCGCGGCAAACGGCCGCCTTTATCTCCCGAGCGTCGATGTTGACACAACGCATCAGGTACTCAATTAAGGCTGAGTCGACCAACGGGAAGCCCAGGACCACTTCAGAGAATTGTCATTGGTCTTGGTGGCTGTGAGTGGGAATCGAACTCGGCCGTCGCTCCACACAAAGCGAACCAAGACAAAGATCCCCCATACAACCTTGAGCGGACTGTTGGGGCAAGAACTGTTAGCGAGCACCTATTAAGGCCGGCACGGCCCACGAGGGGGTGGGGTGACCAGCACCATGCCCGGCCGTCTTTGTCTCCCCGGTGGTGATGTTTACACATCGCACCAGGTTCTAATTTTGAGGCTGAGTCGACCTAGGAGAGGCCCAGGACCGATTCAGATAATCGTCACCGGTGTTGGCTGTGAGTGGGAATCGAACTCGGGTCGCCGGGTTCGTAGTAGCGCAGCAACCGCTACACCACCGCTCCCCACAAAGCAAATATGACACGTACACACAAACATTTTAGAATGTACGACTTGCGCAGGGGTTACAGTAAAAAAAAAGTCAAATACATTCACGCAGCGTCAAGCAACCTGGCTACCGAGGTAGCTCTATGAACATCGCACCACAGTGGGACACACACACACACACGTGGTGCACACCGCCCCATCATTCAAAGAGGTTGCTTGCGTTGTAACAGTTGCCGACGTTGAGCACGTGGCCGAACATTCGTTTGTTATTTCGTCTTTTGTCTGTTTTGTTGCTGCTGCTGCTACTGTGCTCAAGCATCACCGAGGATCTCCCGTGGTAAAATAGCGGGGCCATCATCGTCATCATTATCCGCGTAACAAATCAAACAAACTCAAACTTTCCCATCGCGTTCGCTGGCGGAGACTTTACAGCATCGCTCGGCAGCAGATAACGCCCGGAGCCGCAGAACTGTGACGGGGACTCGCCATCTGGAAACGCAGCGTGGCTTCAAAGCGCATCTTGGATTCTTCCGAAGTGACGTGAGGCCGAACCAGCCCACGGTCGTGTCCGATGGACGTGACTCAAGGGGTGCTAATTCTGACCCTCCACCCACGCCACTCTTGCCCCGTGCGGTGATGCTCGGCACGGACAGGTTTTTTTATTTTTTACTCGGCTCGCCGTTGTGACGGAACCAGAATCAGAATCTTCGTTTAAAACCGGAGGTAGGAATCCGATGAGCTATGAAGCTCTTTCTAACAGATTGTTCAGCAGGGGTGGGTCAGCAAAGTTAGAAAAAGAAACAATACAAAACAAACGATAGGAGTGCAAAGTAGAGAAAAGATAAATATATATCAAAAGGAAGGAACAGAAGTACACATTGCATAATACATTGCTGATGATTTTTCGACACTAATTGCAAGCTTGGGCAAGGCAGCAAAACGACAGTGAAAACATTCAACTATCAATACCTCTACTGGACATCAGTGAAAATAAGCTTGACAGCCCACCGGATTCCTCCAGTATAAATATTCTGATTCTGAAGGCGATTTGAGCATGGCCAAAAAGTGTGTTAATAGCCATGTGGCAGCAATGCAGAAGCTGGATGTATATCCACACGAAGTAAGCTCTCGCCCGCCCGAATCACAACTCCGATTAGCACGGTTGGGTACACAAGGTGCGAAATAAGTTCAATATACCATTGGAACCTCCTTTGCCAATAGCAAAATATGATAATTGTTCTTTTACCCTTTTATCTGGCAACAAAACTGACACTTTTTTTTACAAGGAGTCATGTTTGCATTGACCAAAAGGCGCCTTTTGGCGTCATCTGGTCCAGCACCATGTGAGACTAGGCTCTAAGAAAAGCTGTCTCGGGTGTGGACCAATCAATTTCAAGGACAGTGCATACATTATCAGAGTTGTGTTTTTTGTTTGCATTCCAACTGCGGGTATTGTGGTCAATGCAAACATGATTCCTTGTAAAAAAAGGTGTCAGTTTTGTTGCCAGATAAAAGGGTAAAAAAAACAATTATCTAGTTCAATATACATACATAAAACCAGCGTGATATAAGCATGTGTTGCTTATAACATGAATGTGCTTATATAAAATACGCTTCTATCCAGCTTCTAAAGTATTCTTACATAGCTTTAGAGTCTTGGCCGTAATTAACACCTCTTAATATTTGTCTGTAAATCGATTGGAATTCGATTGCCTTCGGCCGCTTTATGGACGTCCAGGTCAGAGGTCGCCAAGTAAGAAGCTAGGAAAAGGCAAAGCCTCACTTAATGGAAATTTAAACTACAGTGTCTTGAGGATATTGGTAAAAGGCGGCATCCCTGGCAATCGTCAATTTTTACCAACACAATATTTTTTTTAGTCACCGCATTACGAAATTCGATTTCTTCAAGTGGAGTTCTAGCAGGAGAAAAAGTTTTGAACGACACTCAATCACCCCCGGCATTCGCATCAGAGTCCAACGCGTTTATCCCTTTGCCGATAGTGTGGCACTTGCCAGCGATGCGCGGTGCTCTTTGCAGCCTGTGGAGTGGCGAGTGCTGCGCCGCAGAGCCTGGCTGTAAATCTGCGGCACTTATCGCCGCGAGTTGTCGGCCCACTGTTTACATTCACGGCGAAATGAATAAACCAGACGGAGCGAAGGGGGTGTGTGTTCGGCTGCTGCCGATGGGACACGGACCCACGGGGTGTCCAGTGATAACTGTATCTCTCTGCTCAAGGGCAAGGACAGGAGGGCAAGAGTTAGGGTGAGGTTTACGTTAGGATCGTAGCGGTGGGGAGGACGGGGGGGGGGGGGCAAAGAATGATTGTAAACGCAGTGGAAATGGCAGTAACTTCGCTTTCGGTTAAAGGATGATGCAATGTGGTGCACAGCCCTTTCCACTGCTCGATGAAGCTGTTCCTATGGCTTTCACTGCTCTTTGGGGTTGTTTGACCGTACTTCACCACGCCGGTCAGTGTGTGGATCGGTATAGGGGAGGGGGAGCCCAGAACCGCTTGAGATGACGCTCGCGACTGATGGGAGTGATGAAATCAACTCGCGTGCACCCACCTCGATGGAATGTTAAAACCGCAGGATCGTGAGAGAGACGGCGATGGCTTGGAGAGCCCTTCATCCATCAGTGGATAGACCATTGGCGATTTTAGGAACTTCATGAACTGAACTGAATATTCGGTTCCTGCAGAAAGCTCCCAGCACGTGGCACCAATCGACTTCAGAAATTGCCGTTGAACAACGCGCGGTACAACCTGAACAAGCTCCGTATACAGCATGGCAGAGAAATCCTGTGCAGCGGTATTCACTGATGACGGTGATGCTGGTGTGTCTAGTGTGTTGTCCTTCCCACGCACCGCTGATGAGCACGGATGGCCACGTACGGCGCGAAAGGCGTTCAACACACATACATGTGTAGAGGAGTAAAATGGGGACGTGACGTCAGGTGTGCCGTTCAGTGCGATGACGTCACGTCTCCTAGGGTACTTAAGGGAGACCCCGTGACGTAAGCGGGGTCATTGTGGGAACGGGTAGAGTAAGCAGGGTGAAGAGGGAACCAGGGGTAGAGAGAGGGATCGAATAGGGAGTCTGGGGAGAAGCCGGTGGTAGTAGCCGTAGAGGTGCTTCTCTCTCCGCTCGGTGGAGTCGGCAGACTCCACGATCCGCCACGAGAGAGAGAGAGACCGGAGCCAGCCGGCAGGGACCCGGACTCAGAGTAGGACCCCCCCTAGCCCCTGGGAGTTGTGTACCCTGCTGTGTAATATTGTAACAGCTTTAATAAACCCTGGCGGAAGCCCTTAACTTACCTCCGTCTACGAGTACGTCCGTCGGAACTTCTCTACGCATGTATGCCGATGAATGGTAAGGTGAGGGTAAGAGCGAGGGCGATGGGGGAAGAGCTCACCTGACGTGTAGTGAGCCTTGGCCTGGCACGTCAGGGCACAGCTTTCCTGCCCGCCCGTCTTGCCGCAGCTCAGGATGGCCTTGGCTGGCGTTTTTGTCGGCAAACACCGCTGGGCCTCTACCCGGCAAACACAAGCCCAGAGGCACCAAACATTCACATTCATTGTGCACAGCTCTTCACTTAACGACGACAACAACGACAACAACAACAACACCGCCACCAGCGACAACAACGACAGTGGTGGTGGCCGTGATGCTCGGGTGGGTGTCGGCAACTTGCGGCTCCGGATCTGCACGCGGCCCTTTAAGGGACCGCTCCCGTGACGTTATTTATTTAGGGACCACCACCGTCTGCTATTCACACCGCATCGCGGCTCTTGAAATATTGAGGTTTTTTTTCGATTTAAAGCTTTCGTGACTGCAGGGATTCATCTTCTTGGTTCTTTCGGTAAAGTCACGTAGAAGGGAAATAATAAAATAATAAAAATAAACGTTATAAAATAATTCTCACGACGTTTCGGCCACAACGCAAGCAGCCGTCCTCAGGTGAAGAACAGGTCTGTCGGAAAGACAGCGTCTCATTCAGACACTGTCTTTCCGACAGACCTGAGGACGGCTGCTTGCGTTGTTGTGGCCGAAACGTCGTGAGAATTGTATTTTATTGTTTTATTTTTTATTATTTTATTATTTCCCTTCTACGTGACTTTACCGAAATACCAAAAAGATTGAGTTTTTTGTTTACCGAATTCGAAATAAAATTGGCTCTTCTTGTTATTTTGATTGTCGACCCCTGGGCTCGCATCAGGCCACTGAGCCGGAATCAGAGACTACAACGAGGCTTCTCGCACCTCCTGCACGTCTGTTTCCATCAAGGATTCATATTTGTTTCGCCTAGGAAACAATATCCTGGAATTATTGATTCCACTTCCAAATATTTTCTACGAAAAAAATATGTATGTATAGTCTGGAAGGCCAATAACCTGATGGACTAAAAACAGATATTTAGTTTTTCTTGGGAGTTATGGAATGAAAGATTTACACTGTGATCAACCTCGGTTTTCAATTGTAGATGGTAGATTAACTCACTTCAGCCACCAACGACTGAAAGAAACACAACCGATCAAAATTCATTTTAGTTTCACTTCCAGCTGTGAGCATTAAAGATCAATTTGTTGAGACACGTGAAAGCATTACTTTGTCGGTCATTAAAATGTGTGCCCGTAGTTTTCCTAAAGAGGTCTCCTGAAGAAGTGACATCATTGATATTTATTTCTGAGACAAGACATAATGCAACATAACGTGCTGTGAGTCGCCACAGCATATGGGGCGCAATATCAAAACATCTCTTATATTATCATCTTCCAGGACCGTTCTTTTGACACGGGGTAATACACTGCGATCTGTGAGCACGTCCGAATGGGAATATTTGTAATTTCTCACATGGACTGCCAACAGCAGGATTATAATCGGAGCAAATGCTTTGCTAAGCAACAGCTTCACATTTAACGTTCAAACCTACGCGCGACGGGAAACAGCCGAATCTAAAAGAAAACTCTGACTCCAACGCTTTATCTTTGCACGTGCCGACGTCTTTGCTTGCAATAGGCCACCACTTGAGCCAAGCTCCAACAACAGAAACGTTGCAGAAATTGCTCCTTTCTCGAAAATATTCAAAAGCCCACGAGCTACACGAGAGGCCAGATGGAAGCGCTCCACGTGATTTTCTACGGTTTGAGCGCGATCCTTAAAGCATTTCTACGGGGACTCGTAGCATATTTATCGTCATAGTTTGCTATCCGAGGCAGATACGTTTTTGGAGACGTGTCTTCAACAGAGAGCAGGACCGTCGAGCAGATGCACGGCCCAATCCGGGAGGGGAGCTAAAGCTGTTCGTCAGCTCGTGCAGGGTGCGTAACATCAGCAGCAGCAGCGGTGTTCACACACTTTTACCGACAAGGCAGATGGCAAGCCACCGCAGGCCGTCCTGCGCGCGAATAAAGCTGGAAAATGTGAAACTACACGCTGCATAATGATTCTATTGCTTTTGTTTAGCACTCAACGCGAGCCCGATACAAAGCGCCGATCACCGTACGGAGGGGAGGGGGGGGCAGAATATTGAGCGATCTACAGCCCCCCCCCCCTCCCCGAGTTGGACACGGCAGGGGCCTTGGAGGTTTACATGGGGAGGGCAAAAGGGTAAGGGGGGGGAGATAATGAACATACCGGGAGAAAAGCAACGGGCAGAGGTGAGGGAACCGGGGGTGGGGGTGAAACTATTTGAAACAATTTTTTTTATTTTACCAGGCAAGGCTCCACTAAGCTATGTAGCTCTTTTTGAGAAGTGACCTGGCCAACGCACAAATGATAGCCCAACGAAGTGGAAATTGATAGCAGCCGAATACTCTCTATGCATTTTGTTTTGAAATATGGAGGGGAAAACCGGTGGGCCCAGAGAAAGGTCCACGCGACTACGGGGAGATCGTGCAAATTCCAAATATACAGCAGGCGTCACAGGGTCGGGATCGAACCCACAATCTCCTGTATACCAGGCGAGGTAGTTAACGTCTCACCACCGCAGCTACCTGTGCTTAATCTGGATTTCCAAGTTTGTGGGTTGATGGGTCTCACTCTGGTCACTAAATGCCTGCACGAAAACAAACCATTATATTAAATCTGCTTCCGCACTTAATTTAGCTACATTTCAGCCCTGCTAATTAATGCTACCGGTTTGAGAGTCGTGTGAGAAATGTTATTCTCAGTGGCAGGTTGAGTGGGGAAGTGTAGCCTTCCCACTGTGTGAACCAGAGTAGCATTGCAGGGATGCAAGCAGTAGTTCTGTGATATCTGCTTTTGTGGGCCATTCTCGAACATGCAGAGCTGCGCTGCTCCGTAATTTAATTTGGCTCTAAAAGGTCTCACTCTACGTACATCCCTTTTGTCAATCAACTGCTGGAGAGTGTGACTTAGCTAAGGCAGCCAGCATACAAGTGTAAGCATATTACATAAAAAGTCCGAACAAAACTATAATTTGAAAAACGCGATTTTTAAAATGTACGTATTTACAATATTTAATTAAGTATCCCAGCACCTTAGCGGCTCTCCCTGTTTGCTACCTGTGTGGTCGCTGCCCTGTGCTCGCACAAAGACAAAGATCCACCGTGCAGCCTTAACAATCTATAGGGGCAAGTGCTGTTAGTGTTGCACCTATAAAGGGCGGCACGCCACACGAGGGTGTGGGTGGCCAGCACCACGCCCGACCGCCTTTGTCTCCCCATTGGCGATGTTGACACACAACACCAGAACTCATTTCAGACTGAGTCGATCTAGGGGAGGCCCAGCACCGGTTCAGATAATCTTCACATGGTGTTGGTGGCCGCTGAGCGGGAATCGAACCCGCTACACTACCGCTCCCCACACGTACCCGCACACACGCGCACACACGCACGCAAACACACGCAAACACATCCCACGCACGCGTCACCCACCGATGCAGTCCTTCTTGTTCCAGTGCAGCCTGTAGCCGGCCCAGCAGCGGCAATCAAAGCTGCCTGGAGCGTTGACGCACTGCTGCTGGCAGCCGCCGTTGTTGATGCTGCATTCGTCCACGTCTGCGAGACGCCCGACACGAGAGCAACAGCCACGCGACAAATTACTTATCGACCGTTCTTCTGGGAGGCTCGATGAAAGTGATTTGATTTTCTTTTTTACAGCTTTCGTTCCATTCTTTCGTTTTCTCTCGCCCCCCTTTATTTTGCGAGCAGCTTTCCAGAGAGACGCTTCGCTTGATGGTATCGTAATTCGTTTTTTTTCGGAGCTTTGAAAGTACAACAACTTTAACTCCCAACCACAACTACTATTTTAAACAACTAAAGATAAGTTTATATTTTTCTCACCGCATAGAATTGTCTCTATTTAGTTTTTTTATCTTCATGAGTACGAATGCGGCGGCACTTTGATTGGCAGACTTGTGCCAGAAAGGCATCGCGTGTTTAAGCAAAAGCAAAAGTGAATTGACTTGACAATTGTTACAAAGCGAGCATTCGTGCCAACAGGCCTGCAGAGAAACATTTTATTTTCCCGCAGCGTAGGTTTTTCGTGAATATGGGAGCGGTGGCGCCCTAGTTAGCAGGCGATGCTGTAACACCAGCAACCTGTGTTCGATTCCTGGCCAAGGCTAACATCGGCGATCAGTGATATCTAATTCAGTGGTGGGCCATACTTATCACCAACACGCCACTGACAAGCGTGTTGAAGTATGGTCTAACAACCACCATGACCGACAATGGCATGGGGAGGCCTTCATCTAACGTTATATTTTTTAATTGTATAACATTTTCTGAGAATGAGAGACTGTACTCCATAATACATAATTGTAACAACTTAATATTACGCTTACGATACAGCTCTCGCCTGTGTACTCGCTGTTCAAGGATTAGTGCATCGTCGTTGGATGTGATCGGGCGGAACTACGACAATTTTAAACTTTAGGGGCTGCCTTGCCAGTGCTGCTCAGCCATAAGTCCAGACCAAAATATCTCGCCACTGATAATCATTAACAGCACCTTGTAACGCAATAAAAGCATATGCAGCGGTAGGCCGACGTTTCGGACTATGTCCCTTCTTCAAGCACAGAGAGGCATGGCAGCCAGATTGAATTATTTATACTCAGTTCTTAAATTCCGGCCGAAAACCGTCCGGAATGCAACATCCATCTTAATTACTTCGTCTTCATAATTGTATTTAAATCAAAGCTTTAAATCAAAGCTTTAAATAAAAATTAGTATTTTGGTATTTATACATTATGAACACGAGCATACGATTCTAGAAATATATGGTACAAACGTATAGGTTTATTATAGACAGGTGTCCTTTGTAATCTAGTGGTAGTGCCTTACGCTTACGCCAGGCCTAGCATTAGCAGCATTCGGGAGAATTTTTTTTTAATCGGGTGTGAATTTAACCGGTGCCTACAGCCGAGACTTGCACTTTAACGGCACGGCACACCTGCGCAGAAAGGGCAAGTTAAGAGCGACAGATGATTCTACGTCCAGCGTAGCGCTCGTGCCCCCGCCGCCCTCCGTCTCATCGCCTCCCGGTCGCCTGAAGCCCACGGTGACGCAACGGCGCAGTCGGTCGGCGGGGGCCTGGACATCACCGGCGAGCTTTTACCTCCGCAGTGCGTGAGCGCGTAGAGCGTGTAGCCACGGATCGCAGCGGCACTCGAAGCTGCCCGGGTAGTTGATGCACGTGTGATCGCACGCGCGGTCAAACGAGCACTCGTCGATATCTGCGTGCAAGGGAAACACACCGGAGAAGTACAAGGGACGGGATGGGACGGTGGTGGTGGTGGTGGGGGGAATGGAATTATTGCGGATGAAAATCCTAACGCGGGTAGAAAGGAATCCAACGCTGAGGATTTCCACACACCTGTGTTGTTCTACGACGGATTTCGGAGTTGCATGCACAAGGTAGAGGTGCATAGGTTAAGGTGAAATTGTCAACATCAATCTGGGTGGAAGGGCGTCTGCGAAGTGAGCTCTTGGAGAGCCCCTCCACAGGGTGTTTTGGCCTATTCTTCCACACTGGGCAGAAGAGGTTGGAAGAGATTGGAGTACCCGCACTTTACCTCACCACAAGCAACCCGCACCAGTGTTCTCCACACCTCCGATTAGCACGGTCGGCCACGTACGGTGCGAAAGAAGTTCAACACGTAACATGACATTCTTTCGACCGCCGTGCCACGATATCAAATCGAAGCGGCGGCCTCTGCATTGCAAGTGCAGCGCGCGAACCGCCACACGGCGGCCGCGTCCCAATCAACGGGGGGGCCAAACGGAATCGCCCCGTGAACCACCGCCGCACGCCCCAAACATTCGTCGGAGGCTTTTGATCCTCCACTGTGCAAGGTCTTCGCTGTGCAAAGCAAACAGTGCGTGCACACTCGCACGCAACGCACGCCTACTTTGCACACTCGCCTGGGAACAAAGCCCGGCTGAATGTTTACAGTGACCTAGATTTTTTTTCGCTACAACTTTTCAAAAAGAGTACAACGTCAGGCAGGAATTCCTGCGCGAAACGATGCCCGTGCAGAGCCACTCCAACGGGAATCCTGGGATGTTTTGTTTTCCCGTTCCCCGTGTGCCCGCACGTGGCAACTGTGCATGCTGAACCACGGCGAATCCCTCCGTAGCATTAAGAGAACGCCAGGACAAGTGCTGTTAGTGATTATCTACTCAGGCTGGCACAGCATGCGAGGAGACTTTGCAGCCAGAAGCACGCCCCGCCATATGTACACGCTCCCAGTGCTGCTATCCATGATGAGACTCATCATCATCAGCCATTGTTTATCCACTGCTGGATGAAGGCTCTCGGCATCGTCTCCATCCCTGCTGATATCTTCCATCTCGTGCCTGCACAAGGACGGATCTCATTGCTTCATCTCCACAGTGGTTGTGCCCTCTGCTTTAGCTGCCCATCCCATGACGAGTCTCATCATATTAACATGAGGTGCTCGTTCTAGGCCGCATTCACCATGACGTGCATGGTCAGGGATTGAGCCCAGGTCACCGAGATTGCAGCGCAGTGTGCCAACCACTGTGCCACAACTTCCACACGTGCAATGGCTAAAACTCCCCGCATACCTATATCGCCTGCTGGGGCAGGCGCTGTTAGCGAACACCTATGAAGGTTGACACGGTGCACGACGGTGTGGTGTGGCAATCACCTGGCTGCCTTTGTATCCACGTTGCTGATGTACACGCACAGAATCAGGTACGCATTTAAGATCGAGTTGACCAAGTGGCGGCCCAGAACAAGTTATGTTACCGCTTTGCCACTGATGTTAGCCATGGCCGGGAATCAAACTCAAGTTTGCTGGGCTCGTGGTGCAGTGGGGGGGGGGGGGGGGGGTTGTAAAAAAAAACTGAAATAAATAATAAATGAAATCGGGCATCTATTTTAAATGATTTCCAAAATGTCAACGCCGAAAATATTTTGTAAGAAATCCGCAGGGGATCTTGGCACACGGTTGCTAAATGTGGTGGTGGCGTGCCACTCTGCGGACGCTAAACCAACAACACGGAGAGAGGGGGGGGGGGGGGCAGCAGCAGCCACGAGTCTGCCCAAGCGAGGCCTCGGGGGCACCGGGCGACGAAGAGGAACGGGAGACATTGGTGGACGGGGTATGGCCGAGGGTGGTCACCCATCCTGGTTTTCTCAGGATCGCCCTCTTTGCTCAGAGAGGTCACAGTCCTGGGAAATCTGTTTGCCTTGACCAGAACATTTAACGTTAAAAGTTGTGGTTTTTTTTGTTGTTTTGGTACGTGTACTTATTCCTTCTTCCCGTGATATGTTCCGTATTTTTTTTTTGCACCTCAGAGGTGGTAACCCTTGCCAGACCCGGGCCATCACTCGAGCTGCCACCTATCCTCCCTTTTCCAAGATTGCCCTCTTATTGAGGAAGCTGCTGCTCCGGATAATCCTTAAGTCTTCCCGGGGACCAAACCACCGGCCCGGCAAAGGTTGCGCACGGACGGCGTTTGCCAGATGGCAGGGAACCCCATTAAAGCACTCCTCCAAATGAAGCGGTGCGCTGATTGCCAAAGCTGAACGAGTCAATTGCCTGATTTAACGTCAAGACCGTTAACCACATCGCACAAACAATTGGAAATCCTCCAAAGGCAGGCGAGCGCGCGGGGCGCTGCCCAAGAGCTGTCAGCGCACCACTTTCATTCCCGCTTCACACTGTGACGTCGTTGCTCACACTATTTTCGTTTTTATTTATTTCCTTCGCCAAAGAAGTAGGAATGCGCTAATGGAGCAACGTCAGCCAGCAGAGCACTTTAACCAATCTATCTTAGAACTTGCGTAACGCCGACTCGGTGATTGGCCATCGATGCCAAATTTAGAAGCATTGTTGCCCCAACAAAAGCTCTGTCTGAATAAGACGCTGTACCACGGTTACGCCGTGATGAACCGCAGCACCACCGTCGCACGGACACTGACATCTTCACATTGCCTTCGCATTGCTTGCGACGCTACGCACGTAACTCAGTGACGGGGACCATTGGTACAACTGCACCAAGTCGAGATAAATATACAACCCTGCAGCTACTTGCTCATGGTCACTGCTGGTGGAAGGGTCTCCGATAGAGGGAGCTCCAAAGAGACCCCTCGGGAGGGTATTTGGCCTACTCTTCCACGCTGGTCAGACGTCTCGGACGAGGTGCGAGCACCCATAGGGTTTAAGGAGAATGCTGAAAACAAGCGGCGAGGATTTAAAATAATGACAAATGAAGCACTATTACAAAGATAAATGCAAAGCTGTAAACTTACAACGGTAAAAGCAATCATCATCAGCCTTGATCTAGCCACTGCTGGATGCAGTTCTCCCAAAGCTGTTTCCATTACTCATGGTCTGGCAACAACAATCCATCTAATGCCAGCACACAAACTGATTTCATCACTCCATCTCCACAGTGGGTGTATTGGCGTGTGTGTTCCCTCATTTAGCAGTAATTATGTTATTAGTCTCCACCATTTCTTCTCAAGACGTGTCTTGTCCATGTCCACCTAGTTTTGATAGGGAATGTTTTTTTTTGGGCGATATTAATGAGATAAGAACAGGGCTGCTTGGCGAACATGTTCATTACTAGTGCGAATCAGGGAGACAAAGGTGTGAGTACCCAACACACATATTGAGGTGTATTGGTTCACAAGGGAACCTGCAGCATGTGACAAGAGAGAGATGAGGGACAGCAAGAGATGGAAATCCACGGCTGTTGATTAGGGGTGACACGTGATGATGATGATGTGGTGGTAATAGAATGAATCTCGACAACGCAGCACCACCTTCTAAGGAAGCCACCTCTGATGACCAAAGTACCAGGTGGTGTCATAGGAAGAAGAATACCTCACGATCCCGCGAGTGGAGAGAACTACGCTTAAACGCGCTGGCGAGAGCGGTGTTTAATTCCACAACTGCCAAGGAGTATTATCGGCACTTCAAGTTTCAGCCCTTTGCACCTGTGCTCAGTGACTGTGTAAAAACAGAAGGTCACGCGAAAGGTTTGATCAAGTTGCCATTTGCTGGGTGACTGCAAAACTGCTCAAAAAGCCCAACGGTCAGCATTCCCAAAAAATATACAATGCGGGAAACGATCTGGGAGTGTGTGCCAGAGGTCGCAAACGGGTTTTGATTCCTTACCCGTACCCATACCCGGCCGCACCAGGGTCGCAAACGGCTACCCGTACCCGTACCCGGCCGGGTACGGGTAGCCGGGTATCGGGTAGGGTACGGGTATCGGGTACCTGGTTGCGACCTCTGGTGTGTGCGCTGCACATCGCTTGCCGTGTTGTGCTGCGCTGCAGAGTGGTATTTACCTGCACTTCAGAAATGTACGAAACGGGTTGAGTGAAAAATGAGGGGGATTAGAGAAGACTCCTCTTTTTTGGGACAGTAATCCACAAGGTCTGGTAATCTCACCATTCTCCCCCACTCCTCCATCAGACTATCTGGAAGACATCAGCCATCGTCTATAATTGGGTTACATCGATTTAACGGAATTCATTAATCATTTATGCCCCAAGTTGTTACTTTTCGGTGGCCAGTATTTTGGATGTTGCTTCGTTGAAGATAGAGATTGAACAAACAGAAAATGGCCGATATGTGATTTATAGAAGGTACCTGAATTTTGAGAAATAACAGCACTAAAACAAAGTACTCAACTTTAAGTGCCTTTCGAAGAACTTTTTCAAAGTAGCCATATTTAGCAAATGCATAGAAGATGTATACAACATGTCTGCTAATATTAATACGTGTATTAGAAGCATTAGCATGTTGCAATGGCGATGTGATGTTACCATTAGTCATGATAATTAAAATAATAATGCCCTTTGTGTACCCAAGGAAGCCTAAATGAGTCTTGAATATCTTTTTCGGTATGGTCCTACGTTCAGAAATTTGGCCAATGCCAATAAACCAGTATCTGATTTCGTGTGAAAATAAATTCATCAGAGATTCCTGAGAAACCAAAAAAAACATCACACATACGAAGGGGGGGGGGGGGGTCACACCTAAAGATCCGCACAAAAAAAACACGACTGCCATGCTCTGCTGAAAACCTCACAACCCAAGCCTGCAATGCTTATCACTCCCAGGCAGTATCTCATCAAATGACTAACTAGGCTCACACCTGCTTATCTTCCGAGCTCTGACGAGCTTGAGCACTGCCAAGGCTGATTTGTCGATAGGGCGAATGTAAGCTGAACGATTGGAATGCATTGGGG